CGATTTGTGTCTGCATCATGAAGTTATTCTCGATTGAAAATGTCAGTTTACGAGCCAAATTCTCGTCATTTGCGGGAGGTTTTAATTGTCTGCTTTAATATGAAGAAATCTGCTGCTGAGGTTCATCGAATGCTCTCAAGTACTTATGGTGAGGCCGCTATTAGTGAAAGAACGTGTCGTAAGTGGTTTCAACGCTTCAAGAACGGTGATTTTGACGTCGAAGACCGGCATAGCGGTGGAAGAGAGAAGGTTTTCGAAGATGCAGAATTGGAGGCATTACTTGATCAAGACTTGTGTCAAAATCAAGAAGAATTAGCACGATCATTGGGAGTAACTCAACAAACCATTTCAAAACTCCTCAAAGGTATGGAAATGATTCAGAAGCAAGGAAATTGGGTGCCGTACGAATTGAAGCCAAGAGATGTTAAACGGCGTTTGTTTGCTTGTGAACAGCTGCTTGAAAGGCAAAGACGGAAGGGATTTCTGCATTGCATTGTGATTGGGGATGAAAAATGGGTTCATTACGATAACCCCAAGCGCAGAAAATCATGGGGAGTTCCCGGCCATGCTTTTACGTCGACGGCCAAACCGAATATTCACGGCTCCAAGGTCATGCTCTGTATTTGATGGGATCAGCTCGGCGTAGTGTATTATGAGCTGTTAAAACCGACTGAAACAATTACAGGCGATCGGTATCGAACGCAATTGATGGGTTTGAGCCGAACATTGAAAGACAAATGGCCGCAATACAACGAGAAACACGATAAAGTTATTTTTTAGCATGCTGGACCCCTTGTTGCGAAAGTGATCAAGACATACTTGTAAACGTTGAAATGGGAAATCCTACCCCACCCGCCGTATTCTCCAGACGTTGCTCCTTCTGATTATCATTTGTTTCGATCAATGGCATACGGCCTGGCTGACCAGCACTTCCGGTCTTATGAAGAAATAAAAAATTGGATCGATTCGTGGATCGCCTCAAAAGATGACCAGTTTTTTCGACGCGGGATTCGTACGCTGCCCGAAAGATGGGAGAAAGTAGTGGCCAGCGATGGACAATACTTTGAATCATAAATGTATAACCAGTTTTTTACAATAAAGCCTCGAATTTCGAAAAAAAACGGCGGAAGCAAAGTTGTACACCTAATATATATTAGGTGGTAAACTTAGTTCCTGCGGTTTTTTTGTTTAAAGAACTCATTTATTTCGACATCAAAAGCAAAAAATACATTAATCGAAGTATTTTCCCTCGCTAGCTATACTTTTTCCCATCTTTCGGGCAACGCGTAGATTCCGCGACGATAGAACGGTTGGTCTTTTGATGCAATCCATTCGTCGATCCATTTTCGCACATCCTCGTAATGTCTGAAGTGTGTATCCACCAAGCCGTGCTGCATCGACCCGAACAAGTAACAGTCCGAAGGAGTTAAGTCTGGTGAATACGCTGGGTGCGGGAGAACTTCCCACTCCAGCTGCATCAGTGTTTCTTTGACGACTTTGGCAACGTGTGGTCGAGCGTTGTCGTGCAAAAGCATGACTTTACGTCGATTGCTGGCTACTGCTGGCCTTTTTTCCAACAATGCTTTATTCAGACGGTTTAATTGTGATTGATATCGATCCCCCGTGATACTTTCGTTCGGTCTGAGTAGCTCATAATAAACGACGCCGTGCATATCCCACCAAATGCAAAGCATTGCTTTGTGACGATGAATATTTCTCTTTGGTGTGGATGTCGATGGTTGGCCAGGGTCTACCCATGATTTTCTTCGTTTAGGATTATCGAAGTATATCCATTTTTCATCACTAGTCACTATGCACCACAAAAAACTCTTCTTTTTCTGCCTGGCGAGCAGAGAAATAGAGATGTTTAAGGGATTCGCAATGTCATTTGCGGTTAATTCGTGTGGTACCCATTTTCTCTCCTTTTGAATTTTTCCCATTGCATGTAGACGTTTGGAAACAGCCATCGGAGTAACATTTAATGCTGCAGACAATTCTTGGAGCGTTTGAGTAGAGTTTTCGTCCAATAATGCCTGCAAATCGGTGTCTTCAAACTTTTTCGGTTGGCCTGAGCGTTCTTTATCATTGACATCAAAATCACCACTTTTAAACCGCTGAAACCATACTTGGCATGTTCGTTCCGATGGAGCATAATTGCCATAAGCTTCGAAAAGAAATTTATGAGCTGCAGCTGCAGTTTTTTTCAAGTCAAAGTAATGAAGCAGCACATGTCGAAAAAACAACTTATCACGTTCCATATTTAATCAAAAGAAAAAATAGCACTGCTCGCTTAAATGAATCTCTTCGCACTAAATTTGATTGACAAATGTCTAACCTCTAAAATGCAGCCAGTTTCAGATGTCAAAATAAATTACACCTACAACTAACGTCATCTAACTGTGAGCCGCAGGAACTAAGTTTATCACCTAATATATATATATATATACAGGGTGTCTCACACTCTCCTCCGGACATTTAGTGGAGAGGTAGAATGGGTTGATGCGAACATAAAAGTCCTGCACCGTTTTGCGAAATTCGTAATAATAGTCGAGTAATTAATTGTGAAAGATTAAGGAAAAGCGTGTGCTGAATGGTAGAGGACGGACCGCTTAAGTCATAGCGCAGCCCAATAACATAGCGCGCGGATATCGCGCGGGCGATTGGAAGATAATGCACCACTGTCTATACTTAGGGTGTATATCAGTTGGACACGGGGCAATTGGACACAGTCCAATCGCAAGTCGCTGTTCCAAGGGACCCTACAAATGTCTCTAATCACACGGTGCTATGATTGGCTGTGTCCAAATGCACCGTGTCCAAGTGCACCGCTCCCCTATACTTATACCGCTGTGCTCCTACATTTCGCCTCAACGCAGTGCGGCAAGATGGCTCTGTCCATCTGTGTGAAGATCATTGTCATATGGATCAACACAGTGTTCTGTGCGTAAATGGAGAGGAAAAAGTACTTGCGTCCACAGATTCGTAATCATATCACTGAGAACGATATGAGCAGCATGGACAATTATTTTTCGGCGCGCCGCATGTATGTCATAACTAGGAGGCTGACTCAGCTAACTTCTCGTGCCAATGCGACAGCACATATAGCGTTCGTCTCACTGCAACGCGCGTGCAAATTGGCCAGTATGCTGCCGCTCGGTACAAATTTTTCGTCGTTACGATCTCAAAATTTCATATGGTTGTTTAGCAAAAGACACTGATGCAATTATTTACCCCGGCCTATTCTAGCTATATATTAGCTCTAACACAGTACAAGTTAGACACCATGCATATATATAAATTTCCTTTTGCTCTATATATTAATGATATCGGAGTAAAGTATGACATTAATACATTTTTAATATGTTATTTGATATAATTAATATAATATTTTGCTGGCTGGGAACTCAGCAACTCAGAATTCAACAAGTCAACAAGCTGTTAACACGTTCGATAACAGCATTACACATGCGCATTTATCTTCTACGAAAAATCAACATACATATGTACATATGCATAACATGATAATTTTTCTTTCTATACATGACACAAACTAAGCCTGTATACACAATTCCATAAAGAAATAAGTGACCTGTAAAAACAGTTCCCTCGTTTAAAATGACGAATAGAAAATACTGCCTTATATAATTTATATATAAATATAAGTATACATACATAAATACACACACACACACACACACACACATATAAATATTCCTATTTTGTGCCCTGTAATATTAAAATGAAGCATCGTAGAGAACAAAATTATTAACAAAATATGTTTGTTTTTATGTACTCTATTTCTCCTCAAAGTTTGTCGGTCTAATTTTTGTACACCCTGTGTATATATATACAGGGTGTACAAAAATTAGACCGACAAACTTTGAGGAGAAATAGAGTACATAAAAAAAACATATTTTGTTAATAATGTTTTTCTCTACGACACTTCGTTTTAATACTACAGGGTACAAAATAGGAATTTTATGATTTTAATAAAAAAATACATAAATGGAAAAATTAAATTTATTTCAATTACACATATATATTTTAATCTTCAAAAAACAGTGAATAAAAAAACGGAACAAAAATGCGCATTGATTAGCTCAATTTATAATAAATATTCAAAAATTCCTCCATTTGCTTCAACACAAAGATGACATCGTCGAAACATTGATTGTCTCACACGTTTGAAGACTGCAGGAATATTCTGAACCTGATATGCTGCAGCAGTAATTCGGGCTATCAATTCAGGTTCTGTTTCAATAGGTGTCTCATAAATGAGACACAGAAATAGAATCGTTAACCCGAAATTCCGGTTAACCGGCACATTTTTGTTCCGTTCTTTTGTTCATTATGTTTTGAAGATTAAAATATATATGTGTAATTGAAATAAATTTAATTTTTTCACTTATATGTTTGTTTTTTACTAAAATCATAAAATTTCTATTTTGTACGCTGTAATATTAAAATGAAGCGTCATAGAGAAAAACATTATGAACAAAATATGTTTGTTTTTATGTCCTCTATTTCCTCTCAAAGTTTGTCGGTTTAATTTTTTTACATTATATATATATATATATATAAATATATATATACCAGATCATCGAAAAGTATCGGACCCCCCTAATATCTTCAGTTAGAATGCATTTTGGAGAAAATGTCCAATAGCAAAGTTGTATGGTTTCAAGCAGAGAGTAAGATGATGACCTTGACTTTGACCTTGACCATGCCCTTCAAGGTCATTCCAAGGTCAACCTTATTTTTTTAAATGCAACATTTATTGCATATTCTTATAGCTTATCTCGAGAGTTTTCCAAAACGATAGAATAAAACATTTTTTCATTAAGTACTTTTTAAATTATAAAGGTTTGAAGTTAACAATTTTTTGACACAAAATGTAAAATATCTTGTAAAATATTATTTAGTTTTCAGTAATCATAACCTTAATACTTTTGTGCGCGGAATAATGAGACCAATTAATTGTTTTAAAGAAAATACATTAATCGAAAAGTGTTGGATCCTCCTAATATTTTCAGTAAGAATGCATTTTGAAAAAATGTCCAATATCAAAGTTGTACGGCTTCAAGTATACAGCACAAAAGTGTTAAGGTTATGATTACTGAAAACTAAATAATATTTTACAAGATATTTTACATTTAGTGTCAAAAAATTGTTAACTTCGAACCTTTATAATTTAAAAAGTATTTAATGAAAAAATGTTTTGTTCTAGCGTTTTGGAAAGCTCTTGAGATAAGCTATAAGAATATGCAATAAAATGTAGGGGGTTCCATTTAAAAAAATAAGGTTGACCTTGAAATGACCATGACCTTCAAGGACATGGGCAAGGTCAAAGTCAAGGTCATCATCTTACTCCCCGCTTGAAACCATACAACTTTGCTATTGGACATTTTCTCCAAAATGCATTCTAACTGAAGATATTAGGGGGGTCCGATACTTTTCGATGACCCTATATATATATATATATATATATATATATATATATATATATAAATACACACACACACACACATACACACAGGGTGTCCCGAAACTACCGCATGCTATTTTGATGGCAGATTCTTTATAACATTTCAAAACAAAAACTTTGATACAAAAATGTTGAGATTATAATAGTTTTCAAACGGAAAGCGATTATACTTTATTAATGACAGGGCTGAGATTTCGCGCGCTCATATACGCCGAAATAAGAAGTGATAAAAATGCTCTTATGAATGTCATCCTTTTTACGATATTATATTCATTATTAGAATTTAAAAAAGAACAAAGAATAAATATTGAATTTAAAAAAGAACAAAGAATAAATATAACAAAAACGGACCACCTTTCGAGGACAATGACCTTCACATATGTTGTCAAGGTAATTATCTTGAGTAACATTCAAAAGGTTTTAGCCATCGTTTTAACGCTCGTTGTTCATTAAAAAATTATTAACAAAAAAATTTGTATAAAATAAATGTAATTTTTGGACACCGTATTGTGACGTAGTGGCATCGTGCTCCGTCATAAAGGCGCAGACGCGGGGAGAACAGCTACCAGCGCTCAACCACTATCGCTAGGAGTCGGCAGCGAAATGGGACTCCGGCCTAAATAAATAGATCCTATGTCCCCGGGAGAGAGATAGGCGAAGGCTGTGCAAAAAAGCGTCTTGGTTTTAAGGCATGGTTGCACCAACATTATTTTGGCTTTAAGCGAAACTTAAACATATATCTATCTTTATCTTTCTTTCAATATAAATAAAGATAGACATATATTTAAATGTCACTTAAAACCAAAATAACGTTGGTGCAACCGGGCCTAAGTCAATTTGACTCGACGTAGCGAGCAAGCGAGATGAACGCTAAGCGGCGAGTTTTGGGGACAGAGCGTAAAGTGACGTGTGGAGTCGAACGCAAGGTGGTGAGAGCTACGGCAGAGAGGGCGATCAACCCCGACCTGTCCCGAACTAAAGGCGAGAACCGGCGGACGAGACGAGCAATGGACAGACCAAGTCGTGTCCGGGGCGGCTATGTGTAAGAGAGAAATCTGCAGGCATAGTGCGTAAGTCGGTGTACCGCGGCCGCGACTTGAGAGAGAGACTATTCGCGAGTACCGCGGATAACAGCGGAAGCGCCGTTCGGATTTAGCCTAGCGTATCTAGCGATAACATTGTAAATAGTTCGGGCTGCGTATAGATGCGTTGGCATACAGATATCGCGTTGCGGCTATCTAGCATAGCGTAGTTTGTGAGAAAATTCGAATAATGTCGTTGTACATAGCGGAAACGTATTGTCTTACAATCGAATATCCTCTGAGATCCCAGCCTCCGCAGACAAACGCTCTCGAGGAGCTAGTCGCGCCCGTTCATCACCGGGCGGTTTATCGCCGATCGTACGATGGTTTCTGGAAGTCCGACTCCTTGGTGGTGTGGCCGTTTCCGCACCTAGCGCCCAATCGTAATTGCTAAAGAACTCGAAATAGTCGTGGAATAAATTCGCCTGAGCGAATTTGGACGTGAGCGTCGAGTCGCGAGAGAAAGCTCGCGGCCGACCTGGGACACGATACGCGAACCACGTCGCAGTATATACAGACATCGAATTGTAGGTTAGGAAGGTGCGTGCCCCCAAAGAGTAAAGAAAGAAAGGAGAGAGCATATCGGTAGTGGGGGTACGATTTACTGGGGACGGAAGAAATCCAGCAGCCATCTTGTGTACCCACTTTTGTGACATGCGCAATGCGCATGTTTTCAGCTGCTATAGCGTGTTTTTATGCGTGTATAGTGTGTTTAGTTCAGTTGCTTATAAAACGTTGAAAAATAAAAAAAAGTTATAACAAATAAGTTATAAAAATGGTATATTGTCAGGCATGTGGCATAACCAACAAAGCTCGATATTATGGAATAACATTTCATCGGTTTGTATTTAATATAATAAGAAACATTTAAGAATTTAGAGGTTATTCTCTTTTGTATCTAAAAGAAACTGTTTCTTTTTCTTGTTTTTTTTACCTTTATTGTTATGTATAATATTAATAATATTAAAATTGTAGATCTAATATGATCGATTTACTAAATAATTTTTCACGATAAACAGATTTCCAAAAAACGAAAGCCAAAGAAATGCCTGGATCAATTTTATAAACGAGCAGGATAAAGGATGGAATATAAATTGTAATAATCCTATGCTTTGCTCGCAACATTTTGAAGAAACATGTTTCGATAAAACATCAAGGATGAAAATTTCTTTAAAACCATTTTCTGTGCCAACAATACATATTTCAAGATCAAAATATTCAAAATATGTAAGTACTAAAAATAGAATTTAAAATAAACTTTTTTATGTATACAACACACACACACACACACACACACACACACACACACAC